CTTTTGTACAATTTGGATGCGTTTTCTCCTTCAGTTGTGCACATAATGTATTTTGAGAAACATCCCTTAAGGTACCGAGAATAAACATAGGGTTTGTTCATTAAGGACCTAAGTTGGAGAATTAAAATGCATGTGACCATAATGGATACTACTCTGATTAAATAGAGGACATATCACTATGATTCGTGTGTTTTGTTCTTTGATGATGGTTGTGCTAGTACTTGCACCAAGTGGGATAATGTAAGATTTTCCCTAATAATATATATTATATATTATATATTAGGGCCTTAATTAAGTGGTGCAAGTTGACTAGGCTTATTAAGTGGTCTGGTTGGACTTAATAACTAGTAGTTGTTAGTCAACCAAACTCTGTGCCTAATATAACCTGGATTGATGGGATACAGGATTATGGGTTAGATAGCACATTCAGTTACGGTACTCAGACCGCTCAGTAGACACCAATACACCATCTAGGGTTCTGAGTCAGGTCTGAGGCAAAACATGGCTGACGGTCTACCGTTAAGAGGCAACACAACAGGAACATCAACTATGGCTGGAGATCTACATGGCTACGCTTCCGCTATCATACGAGGTCAGGTTTCTCGTATACTGTTTTTCATTATAGTTAGACTATTGTATATCTAACATTTGGTATCAGAGCCATTATAATCTCTGCCTGGTTGATTGTATTGCCTAGAATCAACATTAGGTTTTTCATATACATTGAGCTTTCGTATATGTTTTAATTCTTTAAACTATACACGTAAAAATATATCTATTCAGTACAGATATAATTATGTAATTTATCGTGTATGTTTTGGGGTGAAATAATTACTGATTATGCCAGAATTATGAATGCTTTTGGTTAATTTGAATATGTATGCAACCTGAATATAATATTCTATTAAAGGCATACATATATTTGTGCTTTCGTTTTACAGTCTGTATGTACATATATATTCGGTTTCATATATGTATATATATACATAGTCAGTTTTTCCAGAAATAATGAAATAATTTTGGAAAATATTATAATGTGTTTTTCGAAATATTAAGGAGATAATTTCGAATATAAAGCATAAACCCACTGGCTACTGCCTTGCTATTTGTTTGCCGGAAAAATCACCGGATTGAGTCGCCGGTGCTTTTTGGTTGTTGTTGACGCGTCGCCGGATTCTGTTAACGGCGGTGGACAGCGTTGGTGGAGGATATGACGGCGGCATTCTAACGTTGCAACCAGGAGAGACGACGCCGGCGTTGGTGTCGTGACAAGGAGAGACGGTGGAGGTTGGCTGGGTTACCGGCTCGCCGCTACTGTCCCCCTCCCTTCAGGCGATGCTAGCTTCGGCCATCGTTGCTCCCTCCTACAGGCGGCGGCGGCACCGGCTCCGGAATGTTGCTGTTCTCCGTCGTCGCTTCAGTCTCTCACGGCAGCTAGGGTAGTTCAGGCTGCTAGGCATAAAGAGGAAGAAGATGATGATGGATTATGAAGGTTGGGCCGGGTCAGGCCCATTGGGGCAGACCGGTCCAATAATATTAAAAAACAAAAAAACCTTGGGCCTGTTTTTGGTTTTGGGCTGGCTTTAGTTGATCCATCATCATATTTAGACTTCTTCTAGCTTAATTGTTCAATTTAATTCCTCATTGATTTATTATTAAATTATCATTCAATTTTGGGCAAATATTAAGTTTTTAATTTGCTGCTTGAATTTTAATTTAATGTTGAGGTTTATGTTAAATTGCTTTAAGTATTGCAATTTATTTAAGATATATGGATTAATAATATATTAATATGCAAATTCAAGCATGCTACGTATATTCATAAATTATTGTTATAATTATACATACATAAAAGCATGCATTAAGGTTGGATTTAGCATATTATTAATTCATAAATTCATTATTAATTATCACTCAATTTTGGATCCTTAGGCTAATTTTGGACATTATAGCCCATTAAGGTAGCTTGTTTTTGGTTTCCCCTTAATTTTGAGCACATTTTAGTTTTATGTGTCTCTGGGACTTTAGAACTTATTTTGAACAAGCTATTTGGGACCTATCTTGAGTCATTAAAGCATGGATCCCACCTTTTTGATTGATATTTTAATGATAATTATAGCTCCTTATAACATGTTTATTAAGTTTTAATTATTACTAACTACCATATTTTGGTATTCATCGTTGGTAATAATATTATGTTTTGGGTCTATTTCAGTACTTAGACCATTTTTTATTCATGTTATAATTCACTTGGGTCATTGAGGTTTATGTGCCTAATTTGAGTGATTAAGTGCTATAATTATTGTTTTAGCCTGTTTAGAGATATTAAGGATTTAATTGTTATTTTGACCATTAAGAACTATTACTATTGTTTAAGTTGATTAAATTTTTAATCTATCAATAGTTTTTCAGGGCCTTAATAATAATATTAAGTCTTTAATTTTATGGCAAAAGCAATATAGTTGGTATATTGTCTATATAATGGTAATTTGGTTATTACCTAACTTCAGTCTCCTAAGTATCATAATAGTCATAGTTAATTATTATGTGGTAAATTGAGATTAGTATTTGGCATCCCTTAATTACAGTTTTGCCTTTATTGTAGTTATTATTAATTGGCATTATTAATTACTGTTATTAAGTTTAGGGACTAATTTCATTTTATTACCTTCCATAATAATTATTATTTCATGGTAATATGCTATATTTGGTACATTGGCATGATTACCACTTCATTTTACATGACTATTATATTAATGTTGGTAATTAAATCCTACCAATAAATTTTTAAATGTACCATTGGACGCTGCATCGAGGCTAGCGACACCGACAGTGAAGATGGGAGAATTCTGGATCGTTGTTAGCGCAATGGGCAGATGCAGTTTGCATCATTAAGGTTAGCCATTAATTATCTTTTATGGTTATTATTGATAATTAGTGCTACAGTTATGGTTAATCGCTAATTTGGACTTGTCACATATTTTATCTTTAGAAAAATGGAAACATTTGAAGGCGCATTACCATAATTTAGTTTGTCGTTATTGTTAATGTTAATAGTGATTATAATGTTATTTATTGCTATTAATAATTAGTTAATTAATGATGACATTAATATTGTTGTGGTATTCAGTTATGCACCTTGAACTGTTTCCAAATAAATTTATGTGACAATACTCCAGTTCAGAAAATAATTTTCTGGACATTAATATTTTTCGGACTTCAAATTTTATTAAGTTTTCAAAATTTTATCCAAAAACATTTATAAGTGTTAGCGATTTTAACCATTGTTTTTCCATATTTAGTCTCCTACATACATAATGTGATAATATTATTATGGCTATTTATTGCTATTTTGGTTATTTGCAATTTTGCCATTAATAATAATAATAATATTATTAACTGAGTTATGGAGAGTGATTTTGAATCAATTTAGTAATGTTGGAAAAACATATTTTCTAGGCATTTGACTTTTGCCATTAATTCCATAATCCATTTAGTTCTTTGAATTATGACTGTCCATATTTGGTTAAGTATGAATAAATGAATATTTTGTTTAAATTCATATTCTTTAGTTGGTTCATACTCCTTAGATTGTTTTATGCATTCGATCACATTAAGTGCATAATATTAAGTTTAATTATGCAATTAGGGTTTGTGAGATTTTGCTTTACAAATGATAGCATATCCTTTTGGTTTGATATTGTTTGAAATTGTAAATTCAGTTATTTCTCATGAATTTGATCTTTATGCATTAAAACATTTTCCCATGGGCTTACAGTTTAAAAAAATTTTAAAGTATATATTCAATACATTATTATTCAAAATGTTGGGTCTCTTTTGGTTTGGACTCATCGGTGTTTGAATATTAAGTTTATACTTTAAAATCTCATATTGTAAATTGCTTTAAGTTATGCAATTTCTTTGGAGTATATGAGTTTAATGTTTAATTTTATGCATATTTGTCCTAAGCATAATATTATGTTTTAAATTATGCAATTTTATTATGCCTTTAGCAATGCATACTTAGATGGAATTATATTAGTTCCTATTTAAGTTGGACTTATGCATAAACTTTAGTCGCGGTAGTGCCTGAATTTATGCACGTTTAGTCCGCTAATTTAGTTCACCATTTAAGCTTTAATCGTAGGTGAACCATACAGTTTTTGGTGTATACCCTACAGTTTTAGGTTCATACCCCCAAACAGTTATACATTAAGTATATATGAATCGGGGAGACATATTAGTTTTAATGGCCGTGACTTAAGAACATCTTATGCCATTAGTCTCCTTAAATTGATACTCTATTTAAGGAATTGATTTTCAGTGAGACTTAGTCTCTAACCACCTTTCCTCGGAGTATATTCAGTTTTTCCCATCACAATTGGGTATAATTTGTTTGTCAAAATTTTAAGTATTCCTTGCCAATGTGATTTGATTTCGGTTAATTAAAGAATAGCCAAAGCATCTTTTATTTACTGAAGTCTCTTAAGTTTTCAATCTTGGTAAATTAAGGAATAGCTACAGCATATTCAGCTACCTAAGATTGTTAAGTTTTAATCACATAAAGTTTAGGCAAGAATTTGATAATTGTCTAGTGATCTTATAATTTTAATTTGGTTTGGGAGTAGCCACAGCATCCTTAATCTGTTAAAATTATATATTAAGCGGTTTATTTTGATCACATAAAGTTTTAGACATATCATTTGTGATTAATCTATATACATATAAAGGCCATAGGATTTTGGCCAATCAAATCCTTCCATTTTCCCGCCTAAATTACACGACACCGTTTAAGTGTTTTTTTTTTTTTTTTTTTTCAAATCCATTCAATTTCCCGCTTATTTGAAAATTTTAATTTACTGATTTGGTATTGACGTATGATTTTAGGCCTGCTGTTTAGGGGTGTGGGCTATTGTGGAGTTAGTATTCTAATGGGTTTCTAGATAGGAAACATGTGGTTTAAGTCTAATGGGTATGGGAGTGATGTAAATTGCAGTGCATAGGTAATATTTTTAATATTTTTGCAATTGTCCGACTCTAAGTTTACTGGTTATATATAGCTACACATTTAGGCCTCAAAGCAAAGCAAAGCAAAATATTACAAGATTCTTTCATCTGTGCTATCACAAAACGAAGCAAAATATTACAACTTTCAGCTTTCAAAAACCAACATGACTGGGCAGTTCATAGTTGGTGCCCAGCTTCACCCGCAACAGACTTCTAAGGCCATTAGATTGCATTGTGTGCGGAGCTATGTTGTCACTGAAAACAGAGGACAAAAACAAATTAGAAGTCAAGAGTGTGTGTTTCATGATCAAGAGGTGTGCTATTCCTAGATTACTATCTTCTAATTTTATTGTCTATTGCTAACTGTTTATAAGTACTTATGATATTTTCTTTGTGTCTTGAATATAGGGTATTTTTATTCATGTTCACATACCTAAGGATATTGTTGCAACATACCTGAATATGTTCAAGGAGGGTAAAGTCTATGGTATTCGAAATTTCCTATGTATCACTAACTTTTTCAAGTATAAAACAAGCACACATCGTTATATGATCAAATTCAAACATGACACTGTTGTGAAGCAATATCAGCGTGTGAATTTCCCTAAAACAATGTTCCGGTTTAAGAGTTTCCCGGACATACTTTCAAAGAAGAATGTTGATGAGAAAGTGTTGATCGGTAAGAGTTTAACTGGATGCATACATATATAATACTCAAATGAAGGAATGCTACTTTGATTATGTTTTCAACCATAGCCATCAAAACTAATATTCTGCTGTTATTTTATGTAGATGTGATTGGCCGAGTTGTTGAAATTTATACACCACTAGACAAAGTGATAGCTGGAAAACAAACAAGGCTTATTGACTTTGTTCTTGAAGACAATGAGTAATTTTTTTTTGGCTTGGCTATGCTGATGTAAATCTTATTATTAATTCTGTTGGGTATTTAAATTGGTTTCTGTTTTCATGCAGTAAAAATCAGATTAAGTGTACATTATGGGATGAGCATGTGGATCAACTAACTCCTTATTTCCAAATTGTTGCATCCGATCCAGTTATACTTCTCATTCAACTTTGTAGGACCAAGTTTATGGACAATAAGTTCTAATCCATGATGGGTGTGCTTTCTATTTCAAATAATATCCTATCTCCTAATGAGAAAATTTTTTTCTGGTTAGATGGCGAGGTTCGTATTTGCAGCTCCTTTGATGCTACCCAACTATTTTTTACTCATTCGTCTAAGGAGTTCCGTGACTTCAAGAATAGGTGTGTTTCTATTTTATGGTGTTTGTTAAACTTTTTAAATCAAAATGGATGTGAAAGTATTTACTTTTTTATTTTTAATAGCTTTACAGGTGACTACACCCCTTTGAGGTGTATAGAATCTGGTTCTAGGCTTGATGTTGGTTTCCCTACTAATGGCCTGCATCCTAATGATATTTTGGTTACTCCTATTGAAGATATTTACTTGAAACAACAGGTTAATATGCTACAATGTTTGATAATTATTTATGTTTGTCTACTAATTTTTTTGTGTTTTCTATGTACTTATAAATTCTAAGCATAAAAGAGATGACCTAGATATTTTTTTTTTTTTTTGTGCACCAGTTGGGGGAGTATTGGGTTGCAGGCAGAATTGTTGGCGTAGAGAGTATAAGTGATTGGTATTTCATTTCTTGCAAGAAGAAGCTTGCTGAACAAGGTGGCATGATGTACTGTGGTGGGTGTAAGAATTCTTGGCATGAAGGAATTGTGAGGTATAGGTTGATTGTCCGTGTGGCGGACCACACTGGAGATGCCCCTAAGCTGATATGGGATCGTGAATGTGCAGATTTGGTTGGTATGTCAGCGGCTGAGTTAAAGGCTAAGTACCCTGAGGTATACTATACTATTTCACTTCTTTATTGGGTGTTTAGTGGTTGGTTTTTGATGTCTTATCTGTTCTCCAATATTTCTAGGGAAATAATTGTATTCCACCTGAACTTGGTCGCTTGCGTGGGATGTCTATGGTTTTCCGTATTGTTATGAAGAAGGAACAGGTGGAGAGCTACTATTCTGCCTTTACGGTTCTAAGGATTTGCAGGGATGAGCCATTAGTTACACAACACTGCTCAGGTTTTCTAGGTGCCCCTTCTGCTGAAATGGTTCCAGGTCATGTCGGAGGTTCTTTGGATGTTGGATGTAACTCTGAGGTATACTTATTATTCTATTTTTGGGTTTATAAGTGGTTCTAAGTAGGTTATTGACTGGTCAGAACTATTTTTATGCAGCAACAGTTCGGCAGTGATGAAGAGGAGTTTTTTGGAGTGGAGGATGTCTCTGATGGTGTGGAAGATGATATCACTGTTGGTTTGGATGACATTTCTGAAGATTTAGGGGATGAGCATGCTGCTGATGCTGTTAAGGGATCTATGATCAAAGATTTGGTTACTGCTGGTGGTTCTAACAAAACTAAGGATAAGGGTGTTGTTGATTTGGAAAGTGAACATGTGGGTGTTCCTCTTAAGAGATCTCTGCTGAAAGAGTTTGGTATGTCTGGTAGCATAAAGAAAGCTAAGGAGGTGGTGGTGAAGCAGGAAAAGTAATGGAAATTTCTTTATTTAGAAATAGGTTGTACTAATACTAAGCTGGTAAGTGGGTTTTGTGTGCTAAATTCTACCAAACTGATGGTTATGCCTAGAAAACTGCAGCTTTTTGTAATGTACTGTTAGCCAGTGGATTGTGTGTAGTGTGTTTTTGCCTATGGGTTTGTTTTTTGAACACTGCAGGTGTTTCAGTGTACTGGTAAGCAGTACAATGTATGTAGTGTGTGTTTTGGAAGGCAATGTGTGTAAAACTGCATATGTTGCAGTTGCTAATCTATTTTAAATGTAATGACAGGTTGCTCTAATTGCAAACCAGCCACTAATGGATTTTGGTTCTTATTCTGTTCAAGTATAAGTATATATTGCTTACCCAAATATTACAAATAAACCTATTATTAATCAAAGTATAATATAAAATAATATAGAAATCCAAATCATTAAAAAAAAAAAAACAGTTAGAGCATATTATAGCAACAAATTAAATCATATTAATCTATAATTTCACAAAGTCTATTATAGCAAGCCCAAAAAAATTGCAGCATACTGATAGTTTCCTGGTAAATGAGATAAAAAAGAAAGGGGAAAATTACAAAAGGTATAGCAAATTAGGAGGTTGATTTTTGAGTAAATGCATATCACTTGCATATTTATTGCAAAGAAATATATTATTCCTTAAGTGAAATAATTGGAACCCATTCAAAAAAAAAAGTATCAAAAAATTAATATTTGAGAAATGACAAAGAAATTGATAGTGGCCATGGTAAATCATACACAAAAAGGGCAAAAAAAAAAATAAAATTAATAGATTAGCAGGCTGATCATTAAAGAAAAGGATCTCCCATGCACATGTATTCCAGATAAATATGTTATTTTACAAACTCAATTATAGCAACTAAAAAAAAGGAAGCATCAGACTCCTTTGATTTTAGATTGTTAGTATTTGTTCATATATATGTATAAAAAGTATTTCAATTACTTATCTATTCCAAATTAACCTATTATTAAACAAACTTTAATATACCAAAAAAAAAAAAAAAGCAGTTATATCATATATTAGCAGGCTCATATTTGAGGTAAAGGACTTGCATATGTATTGCAAATAAATCTATTATTTCACAAACATCATGTATGAATATTTTTTTTTTTAAAGAGTGGCATCATACTGAGAATTGAGAAATGACAAACAAATTCAGACAGGCCCTGGTAAATCATTTTTAAAAAGGGAAAAAAAAAGACAAAGCAGATTAGCAGGTTGATTTTTGAGAAAAAGGATATCAATTGCATATATATTGCAAATAATTATATTTTTCCACAAATATATTTAAAGTAACAAAATTACAAATATATATATATGACAACAGATAGCAATTTGAGAAGTGAGAAACAAATTGATAATGCGATGGTACAAATTACACAATACTCAAGACATACATGTAGGAATACTTTTCTCATACACCTATACCTATACCTAAGCATTTAATGTGAATGGTAAGTGTGGACTGCAATTTGAGAAGTGAGAAACAAATTGACAATGCCATGGTACAAATTACACAATACCCAAGACATACATTTATGAATACTTTTTCCCATACACCTATACCTATACCTAAGCATTTAATGTGGATGGTAAGTGTTGACTATTATATACTAATGTTTGATTGAGACTTCTTAGCATGTGTACTACTTGGTATCTCTATATATACTTCATTTAAGAATGCAACATGTACACTATATATTCATTCCAAAAGAGAACTTCAGAAAGTTTTTAGCTAGCAATTGCAACAATGAAAAAATTGACTAGCTCAACTATCATTCGTGGAAAAAGAAAGCTTGATGTTGAAGACAAAGGTAAAAATGAAACATAAATGTTGTTCTTCATTAAAATTGTAACAAATGTTAACTTACTTTTTTGGTTTGCAATACTCATCTTCTTTGCTTTCCATTTGTCTACTATATCTGCACCAATTTGGTTCCCTATGTCTCTTCTTTTTTTGTCAGTGTATTGAGAGATTGTAAATGCAACACTTTCCTGTACACCTGCAAATGAATATTATTGAGGTCATTAAAAAAATCAAAATACTACTAATATATTTGTTGACATGTTTTGTATATAAAATTTGTTGATACAATGATTTAAAAATAGTATTACTTAATAACATGTGAATATGATTTAAATTGAACTTTTTTAGGAATGAACTCATTTTTTTAAGCAGAAGGCTAAACTGAAATTATGCTTTTGATGGCATGTGAAGTGGAAAGAACTCTCAAAAAAACAAATTAATCAATTTCAGTATTACTAATCAATTTCAAACTAAATTATTGAATTGTACAGCAACACTAATCTTAATACTCTTTTTCCACAATTTCCAACTGTTGGGAGTGAAAATTTTACCACATCAATGATTTTAGTCCGTTAATTTAGGTGATTCTAGCCACTACTCAAAGGCCTGAAACAAAACATTTTGGGGGTGTGTGATAACACATGTTAAATTCTTGAACTCACAGGATATCTTATTTTAAACATTTAAAAACAGAAAAATATTAATTTATTTTATTTGTGAAAGTAATGGACTCAAATGTTATGTAAATAATTAAAGTAACCAAAAGTTAATTTTCATCGCATGTGAACTGCTGTTTTAAACCGGGTAAAAATTGCACAGAGAAATTGAATTATATAGTGGTGATTGCTAGCAGGTTTATTAATAAAAATCATTTTTCTCTTCAATATACATGGAAATCAAAAATAAAATATGAAGAACACATATATATTTACTAAATTTTCGGAAAAAAACTATTTTTTCATAAATTTTAATTTTTTGATTTTTGAAATTACTGCATGTGTATTATATGCTCTAAATCTAATCATAGATTTTGCCCACAAATAATTAAAGAATGAAATAATTGTAAAATTATTAAAAGTATGTTTTAGTGTTTTACCTTACAGATATCGTAGTTTGAAGGTAGATCGCTGCTGTTTCTTGCTTTGTTTCAGATCGATTTGGCCTTTGGTGTTTGGTAGAGGAGAAACCGAAGGATAGTAGATAAGGGTTTTGGGTTTGTGTAATCTGGCATGATTTTTTCAACTGATTAGGTCTACGAAGGTAGTATTGTGAAGTGTAGAACGAGTAGGAGAACATAGATCGTGAACAAGAAGTTAGGTGATGTTTGAACAAGAAGTAGGGTGTTTTTGGACTACATATTTCTATGAACTGCTGTTTTGCTAGGCAACATTTAGTAGTTCCGATTGGACTACATAATTTTGTAAAGGTGATGTTTGAACATGGAGATGGCTAGAAAATGACATCGAGCTAGAGGCGATAGCTTAAGAAATAATGGCGATGTGTGGATGGTGTAGTTTCCAAAAACAGTAGACAGTGTAGAGAAGAAGATATGCGCAGCCGAGAAGATAGGGTAGCGGCAAAATGGTCTAATTGTTTAGTTGTTTAGGGTGTTTTGTTCTGGCTTGGGTTTTGGGTTGGGCTTTGATAGGCTAGAGTTTATATTTGGGTTATAATTATGCTAGAGTTTGTGGTTGGGCTATGGTTAGCCCATACTTATAATATACTTGATATAATTAATGGAACAAGTGTCATTAATCTGGCAAATTATTGTGTGGACCATGGTCCACACAATGATATGTGGACCATAACAAAAAGTACATTTTTAATATACTAAATGTATATTATTTTTGTATTGAATGTACATTATACAATATAATGTACACTCAGAACAAAAATAATGTACATCCCATGTATACAATGTGCATTATTTTTGTATTGAATGTGCATTATTTTTGAACTGAATGTACATTATTTTACAGTAGACAAAATATAGTCCAGTTGTCTACAGTTGGACTTTTGTTGAAAAAACCAGTCTTTGTTCACGGGCAATTATATGCTGCTTTGTCTAGGGTTAGTAATCCGAATGGTCTTAAGTTACTTATTTGTAGCGACAATGGAGAGTATGTTTCTTCAACGTCGAATGTTGTATACAAAGAGGTCTTTAACAATTTATAAAATTTGTATATTATTAATTATTTGTTACCTATGCAATATATGCCAATATAATTTTTATATTACTATTACTAATAAACTAATAAATAAATAATTGAATATATATATATATATATATATATATATATATATATATATATATATATATATATATACTATTTTTTATTTTATTTTAGCCGTGCATCGCACGGGTGGAATACTAGTTGTATGTAATATGATGAAATTTAGCCCACAGGCAATTTAGCCCACAGCTACTCTGACCGGTCAATTTCGCATCCAGTTTCGGGATCGGTTTCCCGACCTCTTTTGAATGAAAGATCGGTTTCCCGGGTATACAAAAGCACGAGTGGCTGCGCGCATTCGGTCGAAAATATAAGATTTTCTCTAATAATATATATTATATATTATATATTAACCGGTAGCTCAACTGCTCATAGAGTTGAAAGTTTGGAAGCATGATGACTAGGGATCGACTCTCACCAGCGGTAGTGTGGGGGCAACCTCTCAAAGTGAGGGGGGCTCCTTGCGCGCAGTGAGCACCGGTCTAGCCTCTGTGGTACATGTTTAGTTGTGATTCCCAAATGCCATATTTTGAAGAAGTGGTCCGGTCTAGCCTCTGTGGTACATGTTTAGTTGTGATTCCCAAATGCCATGTTTTGAAGAAGTGGTCTGTCTAATATGAACCTGGATCGATGGGGTTCTTCCTTTTGGAAGAATGTATTATATATTAGGGCCTTAATTAAGTGGTGCAAGTTGACTAGACTTATTAAGTGGTCTGGTTGGACTCAATAACTAGAAGTTGTTATTCAACCAGACTCTGTGTCTAATATGAACCTGGATCGATGGGGTTCAGCCTTTTGGAAGAATATATTATATATTAGGGCCTTAATTAAGTGGTGTAAGTTGACTAGACTTATTAAGTGGTCTGGTTGGACTAAATAACTAGAAGTTGTTATTCAACCAGACTCTGTGTCTAATATGAACCTGGATTGATGGGCTTCAGGATATTCATTATATAGCACATTCAGTTACGGTACTCATACTGCTCAGTAGACACCAATACGCCATCTAGGATTCTGAGTCAAGTGTGAGACAAATATGACTAACGGTCTACCGTTCAAGAGGCAACACATCAAGAGCATCAACTGTGGCTGGAGATCAACACGACTATCACTTCCGCTTATACAAGGTTAGGTATCTCGTATTATTATTCAGTATAGTTAGATTCTCTGCTCGGTTGATTGTTATTGCCTAAAAAAATCAACATTAATTTTATATACATCATAAAATTTTTGTATATGCTTTGGTATTAATTTGTTCATTCTAATTCTTCAAAATATGCATATATCTATTTAGTTTAGATATAATAATTTGGATATATTTTGAAAGAATTATTTGTTTGGACTGCTAAAAATTAATTTTTGGCTTTAAGGACAATTTTAATTCCTTTTTTTTTTTTTTTTGGAATTATTTGTTGTGATTTTGTTTGGGATTCACCGGAGAATTATTTAAGTTTTTTTTTTTTGGCAAATTGATGGTTACAATTTTTTTTTTTTTTAAATCAGTTTTCTGGTATTTTTTTTGTTTTCTTCCGTCGTTTTTTTTTCTTGTTCGCCGACATTTTCCCTCTCTGGTCAGATTTGTTTTTTTCTGGTGACGTTGTTGCATCCACGGGAGGAGTTTGGGCGCTGCAATGGGAGATGGATTCGTCAGCGGTGGCGCTGGTTTTCTGGTAATGACGGTGCGACGATGGCAACAAGTAGACGATTCTCAAGGAGCTCATCGGCATGTTGTGGCATCGCGATGAAGACGACTGCAAGGGTCTGCTGTTGCCGGTGGGCGGCGTCGGCGGACCGGCGTTACAGTGAGGCGAGACGGCAGAGTGGGCTGGTTTCCCGTCGCTACTCTCTCCTTCCTCCTTCAGGTTGGTCTCGTCCGGCGATGGTGTTTTTTGTTTTCTCGGCCCCGCATTGATGAGTCTACGCTCCTTATTTGAGAAAGGTGAAAAAAAAATGGTAATAAATGCAACATTAAGATATGTTTGTGTGATTGACGTAATTACAATTATCATTTATATTTATTTACCATATAAATATTTGTTTTATTAATAATTACATATTAATTTGGTAAATGGTAATTATTTAGTTTATTATTACCATATTTATATTACATAATTTAATAATGTATATTATTTTGGCAAATGGTAAATATATGGTAATTGTTTGTTTTTGGATAATGCCTGATATAGTATATATAGGCTACAATACCTATACAGGTAAGGGCTGAAGATCGGGTTCCTAACAGTGGGTCGGGAAGCTCCGGTCCAGCCTCATGCCAAAAGTCCCCTTCAAGTTACATTTAATGCGCTTTATATAGAGGGTGAAAGAGGGCATCTCTGGGTTCTCGGCATGGCGGGCACGTGGCGGGCATGCATCGGTCACAGGTGAGGCTGGATGTCTAGCCGCCACGCGGCGATTAAAGCCTGGCCCCTCCTAGGGTCATGGGCTACCGGCCGGATCGGCTCCGATTGATAAGGAGGGGTCGATCGGTTTAGCAGTGATCTGGGCCAGAGGAAGGGGCTCGGTCGGGACGAACGCCCTCGGGACGACCGATCGGTCAGCGGTCGGTCGGTGGAAGCGTAGGGCCGAGCGGTATTATCGTCTCCTTAGAGATACGCGGCGCTCGGTCGTTACCGTTTGTAAGGCTCGGGGACCGGGGGTATATCCCTATCACATAACCCCCCTGGCTCATGGGTCTGACGATCGGTAAGAGGAGGAGCCCGAGCCATGCTTGGGGTTGGTTTCCCGGTGCTAGGCTCGTATGTGCTGCGGCACACGCTGCGCTCACGATCACGGACCGTCCGCAGGTGGTAGGTGGACACACGTCGCTTCGGGAGTGTTCTCGAGATCTGAGCCCAAAATTTGGACGCTGGAGCGTTTTCCCGCCGCTACCCACCCCTATAAATAGAGGTGAGGTTGGGGTAGGTCCAACTAAGCTTTCAACTCTTCTAAGCGACGATCGGACGTTCCCGAGTGACAACAACAACTATTCAAGGCCTTTGCTAAGTGCTGCCAATCGGTACGTGTGTCTTCTTTATACGCTTTCTTTAAATCTCTATGTAACACCCCACTAACTCTAAACAGCCATTTACATAACTAAGCAGCGAAAATAACTATAAGATAATTAGTGGGACTGTCACCGCCACAACCACCACTCCGTGGTGATTGCACAGGCTAAGGGATAATACTAGAAATAAGATAAAAATCTGGCATCCAAATAAAATACAGGAAATATAAGGGGGAAAAACGTCACCCCAATAGTCTACATCATCCTCAAAAACATAAAGTCAAAAAGTCTAAAATCCACAACATGATCATCAATAAAACTAGAGTTTAGACATCTCAAACTAAGAGACTAATCTAACTCGATCTCTTCTCATTGCTGGGCCCACCTGAAAGGGGTTTTGCAAGCAACACATAGACAAATAGGAAAACACCCGTTAGCACGAAACTAAGTATAACCACACTCAACCCTGTAAAGCATTCTAGCATTTATTTTGAAAACATTTGATTTCTTTATAAACAATTAACTCATCTCAAATCATCTTTAGATTTAACACATACTTTCTAGATACTTGCACCCTATTACATCAGCTGGCGCACACACACACACACACACACACACACACACACACATATATATATATATATATATATATATATAAGGGTCATATGCGGCAGTGGCTTTAGGTGCGGCGATGCGGCCATATCAGCGTCGTCCATTCTGCTTAATCTAACGGCAGCGACTAATTTCTGAATATTTAAAGATTTAAGCGCGTCCTGGTAAGTGGGGGGTGTTATTGTAATTGTAGTAGTTATTTATATCGGTCGCTTGTCAGTATACACCAACAGTGTTAACAAAAGACACCAATAGTGTTAGGAAAAAGCACCACAATGAAATGCACAAATACACAAAAAAACACACAACACACCCAAAAAATACACCATATAACTCACCACCCCAATGGTGTATTCTGAACACTGTGTGATGCTTTTAGTCATACCTAGTGGTGCATTCTGGTGATGCGTATCGAATTTGTGCATGTTTTTTTGGTATGCATTTTCTAACATTGATGGTGTATATTTGTATAACTATTTGTGCGGTCGCACTGAACGCTCGGGAAGGCACCAACACGAATTCTAAAATACACCACAGTAAGGTTAATAATGCACCAATAATGAACATAAAACACACAACACTCTGATTTGATATATTCTGGTGCCCAATAACGACTTTAACCTTGCAGTTCGCGTACTGTGAGAACGCGCGCGAAAATATCGGAAAAGCCTTGATGAATGTGATTCGTTGGATTTATCATGGCCTACAATTAACCGCACC